GACTTGTCTTGCAAAAGAAATGTGTGTAATAAATTCTCTTTAAGAGCAGGAAGTGCTGTTATCCTTGTGAAAGAGATGTGGAGAGAGAGAGTATGTGTATTTGTGTCTGTGTGTTTTTAGCGTGTGACCAAATGTGGTAGCTTGGATGAGACTGAGCCTTTCTTTCTCTGGTGTTTTAGGCCTAATTTTTAAGTATCTTAACTTTGCTCTTGGCTGAGGTACTCATTATCAGGTTCCAGCCCAGGAAAGACGTTTTCTAAAGGAACGACTATGTGGCTGCTTTGCAGGTAGCTAGGACAGTGCGGCCGCCAAGCCGGCGGTTCAGCCTCTGCGAGCCTCAGTCTGTGTCTGCGGGGGCGGGGCGGGGGCGATGTGCGTTAGGTGAGATCACGCACACAAGGCACGCAGCATGGCACTTGCCCTGCCACCAGTTACTTCTTGCTGCTACCCATTGTTTCTAGTGAGATGAGGTGCTCAAAGGAAAAAACGTGTTAAAATGAGGTATCTGGTAGGAATTTCACTAGACTTTTCAGGACAGACCCTCAAACATCCCCAGGAGGGTGGGACGGCGGGGGCGGGGGGTGTCCACTCCCAGCTTTGCATTGGGGCTCCGTTTTCCCTGGTTTTGGAACAGTGACCAAGACCAGCTCCTGAAGCCCACTGAAGGATCTTCTGGGCCAGCCCAGGCCCTCGTCAGGCAGGACAGGAAGTTTCAGAGTCGAGTCAGACTTCAGCCAAACCTGGAGGCTCATTCGGTCATTCTCTCCCTCATACCACAAGCATTTCTTGAACACCTGCGGGGTACCTGGCTCCGTGCCACAAACAGGCGTCATGGTAAACAGGATACACGTGGCGTCTCTGCCTCTCAGCTCGACTATTAGGGGAGATGGGCATTAAACACAAACAGTCATATTTAGTAATCGTGGTAAGTGCTGGAGCCTTTCCTCAAGTAGCTAAACTTCCTGAAATATACTATGATACGGTAATTCACCCTGGAGAAAAGGAAGCAGATCCAACGTCCCAGGATGAAATACTCTGGAATATCCACAAGTCTTGTGGTCATATACGAGGACTCATTGCATGGCACGGATGAAATACTCTGGAATATCCACAAGTCTTGTGGCTTACGAGGACTCATTGCATGGCACGGCGAAAGCTGCCTGTTGTCATTGTCTTTATTTGCTTTTGGAGGTCATGTCAGACTCCAATGACCTTCTCAGGCACAGGCTGCTTTTGGTTCTCCCTGGAGAGAGAGGGGCAGAAGCTAGATAGACTTCGATGGTTGTGAAGGGCAAGGCCATGAACAGTGTCCTTACTTCGAGGCAGAGCGGGGTCTTCTGCTCCCTCCAGAGTTACGTTGGCATGTCTGGCACTCAGGTTGGTTATTAAATTAGAATTTTAGACCTTTAAACAGTCTTCCTACTGTTTGAAGAAGCTACAATTAACGTCTCCTAAGCAGCGCAGCAGAACTTGGTTGCTAGGCAACAGGCCTTTAACGACAATTTGTCCATTTCTGCCAAAAGAGAGAAAAATAGTAAACATTCACATTCTTAGAAAATTGCTGGTTTCCCAGCTTCTAACTTTCTTGCCACAGCAAGGCCTCCAGTTCATCAGTGTCCATTTTATTCTTTATTTAGTTTTCATAAATAATTTACAGACATATTAGGAGAATAATTGAGCCTTTTTTTCGAGCCTAACCTCTGGCAACTCAAAACAGATATTTGGTTTACAGCGAGTTGCCGTATTTGTGGGTAGGTTTGACGGGGGAGTACAGAGGCTCCCCGGAAAGGCAGCGAGCCCGGCGGTAGCCCAGGCTGCAGCCCAGGAAGGTGGTGCAGGCCCACAGGGGGCCCTGGAGTCCTTCAGCCTGTGTTAGCGCCTAGCGTGCGCCAGGCCCTGTGTGCGCTGCTGCGCTCCAGCCCGGTGCTGGGCCAGGCCTCACCGGATCACCTTATGGGCAGACGTGGCAGGATACCAGGAGATTCCACCCCGGGGCTGTGGGGTTCAGAGGAAACCCAGAACCCAGCCTGGGATTGGGGAAGGCTTCCCAGAACCGATGTGGGCTGGACTGAGACCTAAAGGATGAAGCAGGCCGGCCCCCTTTGGCACGGGGGCAGTGTCCCGGCAGGGTCCTCCCATGTGCCAGCAGAGAAGAGTGCCCTGCTTACCGCAGCAGCAGCGGAGAGGGCAGGGGTCTGGCGTGGGACACCCTGCAGCTCAGCTTGGAGGGCAGTTGCCACTTGCAAAAGCCTGCATCTGATTTGCATATACAGCCCTTGGGGAAGCCACCTGATTTGACTTGGGTTAACTCAAGGGAATTGAGGAAATTGATGGTGAGCCCTGTAGCTAAAAGGGGCAGAGGGGCCGGGGGCTGGTCTTGGCCTGGGTTCCTTTGCCACTTCCAACATAGGGGACCTTGTGTAGATTCTTTCAACGGAGTCCCAGGTTTTTCAGCAGTAAAATGGGGATGACGGCAGCTCCCACCTCAGAGCTGGTACGGGGACTGATTATAAATTAACCCAAGAACTGCTGGTACTGGGCACACAGCATCCTTTAAGTGTTGCCTGGCACCACGGTGACAGTGCCACCCTATTGTGCCTCCGTGAGTCCTCTGCCCCAGAGGCCCCTGGTGTCCCGTCTGCCACCTGTTCCCTCAGCGACCCAGGACGAAACTTAGAACTGTCTTGAGACCAAACTCGTCTCTCTCTCTCTCTGTCCTGAGTCTCCCTGGCCGAGTCGAGCCCGCGATCCCTTCTTGCTCTGAGTCCTCGGTGCCAAGCCTGTCCCTGGGTCAGGGTCTCTGCTCCCCTGCTGGTGTGACTTGGCCCTCTGGTCTCTCCAACTCCAGCGTGGGCCGCACCCTGGTCCTTAAGCTTTGAACCCTGCACACCAGAGGCTGTGTGCTGCTTGGTTGACGTCCGTGTGCATGGGGGTTTCAGCTCTGGGTATATCTACAGAGTGTCTCGCCCTGTTGGTGGGCATTTGAAAAGCACTACCAAGAGTCGGCTGCTGGCCTCAGATTCATCAGACGCCCTTTCGTTCATTCGCTCAGCCCGTTTACTGAGTACCTACTATGTGCCAGTCACCATTCACTGAGAAGGCAGCAGAGAACAGGACAGGTGTGGCAGGGAGAGGATGTGAAACAAGCACCACAAGGACACCAGTTAGTCAGCAGAATTCAAAGGCTGGGAGGTGAGGCAGGAGAATGGGATAGGAAGGGGCTCCCTGGGCAGTTGGCGCTCTGTGCGTCAGGTGATCAGGGAAGGGCTCTCAGAGGAGGTGGCGTTGAAACGGCAGCCCTGGACGAGGGAACGGCAAGAGGTTTCACACTCATCCGTGCCTCTTTAGAGGGGCGCACAGTGACATTGGGCTCCTGAAGAGTTGATTTCCGGGGCCGGGAGACAGTGCAGCTCCCCAAGGTGTCGGAGCCCCAGGGCTCTGACTGCCATACCCCTCAGACTGCCCGCGCTGGGAGGACTTTGAGGCAGTGACGAGCCCTCCGTGGGTTCAGTTCGCCCGCTGGGCTTGGCCGAGGCCACAGCTAGGAAAGGCCCCCAGAAAAGCACCAAGCGCCTGAGTTTGTGTTCTGGTGTCAGCGGGCTTACTGCTTGCTAATAAGATATGCAAATTATCAGGGCTGTAAAATCTTCACCACATTCCATCTTCTGTTTAATTAGCATTTAATTGTAATCTCATTTTAATTTTTTCACACTGGCACCCTAATTAAATGTTAGGGTATTCGTCTTAACAATTAAATTATATTGGCAAATAGAGTCTTCAAGAAACTTGACCTTTTTCAAGCCAGGGCCCTCCTAGCTAGGTGCACATGTTAATTAGATTTCTGCAAGATGCTGCCTGAACCCCTTCGGTGCACCCATTTCAGTTGTTTTCTTGCTGTTCTGGCGCTAGATTTGAATGAGACCCTCAGGGCCCGTGCGTCGGGCCCCCGTCAGGCAGAGGTGACCACGAATCAGTTTGTCGTGAGCCTCTGGAAGGCAGCAGACACTGACTTTTCCAGAGAGGGGTGGGTTTGGAGTTTGGTCTGCAGTCTAGGCACTCCTTGAACTGGTTTCTCTGGTCTCAGCGATGCCATCTTTGCTCTAACGTGTGATTCTCATGGGAGGATCACAGTGAGGCCACATGAGGTCAGGCAGCCCGGGCACGAGGGTCACTGCTGGTGCCGCTGAGGCCAGGCTTGGAGATTGTTCTGGGGTCGGGGGGCAACAGACAGAACGTTGGGAAGAACAGTTTCCTGAGTGACCAGAAGAAAAGCAGAGCATGAGGGCGCGTCCACTCAATGGTCCCGGCCCTGGGGGGACTCTGGGGGACTTGGTTGAGAAGGAATTCAACCCCATCCTCCGCCTACCCCGCCACACAGAGGATGGAGCTGCGGGACCTCTGCCGATCAGGGGACCAGGTGTCCTCGCTCTCAAGTGACTTTGGAGACCCGGTCCCAGGGGAAACCTTTCTCTAGGCTGCCCCAAACCCCACCCCCCTCAGCTGTTTGCATGAGGTCCTGGCATTTTGTTTGTCCCGAGTCTGTGCCCTGCGCTCTTTGCGTCTCCATGGGGCCTGCAGCACTGTGTTGGCAACTACCAAACGTAATCTTAAGCCTTCGACACAAATTCCCCGAGTGGCCGCTTAGTGGCTGTATTGCATTCACAGAGGCCTTTCTGCCACCTGACTTTTTTCTTTTTCGCCTTCAGCAGCCTTTCCCCTTCCGTCTGAGGTCCCCCGCCTCACTCTTTCCTTTAACAAGTCAGAACACATGTGAGTTCAGTTCAGCACGTTTATTGAACATCTGCTGTGTGCGAAAAGCAGTGTGCGGAGTTCAGACAAGATGCGTTATTTGTGTTGGCTTCTGACTTAGAGGGGGCAGGAAGCCCACCTGAGTTGCCTCTGCCGTCCCCTCCCCAGGCCTGCGGAGCAGACTCCCCCCCGCCCCCCCGCTCCCCCGCCAGGCAGCCCGAAGCCACCCGCTCCACCCTTGTTCCCGACAGGTTTTCCGGACAGACTTGATCACAGCCATGAAGATCCCAGACTCGTACCAGCTCAGCCCGGATGACTACTACATCCTGGCGGATCCTTGGCGACAGGAGTGGGAAAAAGGTGTGCAGGTGCCCGCCGGGGCGGAGGCCATTCCAGAGCCTGTTGTGAGGTGAGCCGGGCAGCCCAGGCTAGGGGCCCAGGCAGGGGTGGGGGGAGGCTAGGATGCAGCAGGGGACCTGCCAGTCCTGGGCTTTGTCTCTAGCCTAGCTTTATTTTGTTGGATTTTGGGGGGCCCATAAACCATTGAAATGTTCCAGAGATACTGGCGGTTTACCTTCGAGGCTGAGCCCTTGGGCTCGGGCTCAGCTATGGAGCCAGACAGCCTGGGTTCAAATGGCCAGTCACATTCATCATGACCTGGGGCCAGCAATGTAATCTCCCGGGCCTCAGTTTCCTTGTCTGTGAAGTGGGAGTGGCGACAGCAGCGCCTGCCTCCTCCGGCGGTCAACATGGTGTCGGGAAATGATGCGTGAGAGGCACTTGGCACAGCGTCTGGCACACAAGTGTTCAGTAAAAACTGGCCGTGGATTAGTTTGATGTCGATCCAAACTGGGTCTCACCAAGCACATCTTAATCAGAGAAATCTTCAGACTTTTAGCGAGTCCTTAAGACAGGGATAAGCCATGTTCTTGACTCCTTAAACCTTTTTAAGGAGTTCTCGGTGGGCGGGAGTGGCGTGCACACAGCAGATGCTCAGGAAGCAGCTGCTGTGACCGGCTGCCTAGGAGGCCCCCTGCCAGGGCTGGGGCAGGCCGGGGTCCCCTCTGCGCGTGGGGGTCAGAGAGAGACCCCTGGCGCTCTTGTCAGGAGGTGGCCTCCTGGCCATGGGCCTCGCCTCCTGCAGCAGAGTTCAGCCAAGTGCTTGTTTCTGCACCCGGGAAGCCCTCCAAGTCACGTCATGGGGCAGAGATGCCCACTGTCCTGGCCCCCCCCGCCCACCAGCCCGCCAAGGCCGGGCAGCGTGTGCTCTTGGCAGCCCGCTCCTGTCCTTGGCAGCCCCACGGCTCTCACTTAGGCCCATATGACCAGGCCTGGGGCAGAGATCACAGCCGTCACCCCCTGTGACATTGGCACGGTTGCTTCCTGGCAGCCACGCCCATGCCTGGCTCCCAGACACCCAAGGCCTCTTGGTGCCAGGCCTGCGCTGGGCATGGGATTACAGGGCAAAGCAGGCTGGCTCATCCCTGCTCGGCTTCTCCATCAGGATTGGGTACTGGGAGGGCTCATCCTCCTGTGGCTGCTGCGGGCTGAGTGCCTACCAGCACTTGCCCTGGGCCTTCGGAGGATCAGGGAGCCCCAGATTCTCTGGAAGGGAGTACATGTGAGATGTGGAGAAGGAACGTATACTCCGCATCCCCTGCACAGAGCCAGAAAGGAGAGCCAGGCCCCTAGCCACTCCCATAGCCTCGCCTCTGCAGGCCGAGGAGCTGTCCGGCCCTCTTTGAGCCTGTTTTCCCCTCTAAGATCAGTGCCTGCCTGATGGTGATGGTACTGAGGACTGAATGACGAAACGTGGGCCCAGGGCCCAGAGTAATGGGGAGGAGGGACTGGCCACCAGCTGGGCAGAGAAGTGAGTCCTGATCAGGCTCGGCCCAGCGGTCTGTCCCCTCTCCTTGATGTCAGTGTCAGGTGGTTCCGGAAACATCCGCTGGCCTGGGTAATTAATTGCAGATGCTTCCACACCAGTAGCTTGGCTTCAGTCTGCTTTATCTGTTGACATCGAGAGGGAGAGCACGTGTTCAGGCAGCTCTGGCTCGACGAGGTGCATTCCCCACAGACGCACGGCTGCTGTGAGCTGACAGGAGCCAGGCAGCCCGGCCTGTCCCTGCTCTCGGGAGGGGAGAGGCTGCAGGCGGGGCGGGGCGTTCTCGGAGAGATCTGCACCCCCCCCCCCGCCCCTGCCCCCACCCCGCCTCTCTGTCTCCCCGGTCGCTCCTAGGGCGCACACAGCGCCTACATCTGGAGTCGGCGCAGCGGCCACCGTAGTCAGACAGGAGCGCTCTTCCTGAGAACTTGCTGGGCTGAGCCTGTTGAGTTCATCTTCTCATTTAATTATCATATTAGCCCTATAATATAAGCACATATTACTGTCCTCATTTTATAGATGAGGAAGTCGGGAAATTCTGGGGAATTCCCTCCATGACCGGCAGGCAGGGCCTGGTGGGCTGGGCCAGGAAGTCACAGGCCATGGGAACGCCCCTGGGTTACCCCAGGGAGGCGCGGCCGGAGCCTGATGCCCTCTTCGTCCTGCGCTGGCTCTGACCACCCGCCCCTGCTACCCTTGCCCCCAACCCCCCGTCCCTCCCTCCTTGCCCAGTCCTCCCCGGCCCTTGGACAGGTCCACCCACGTCATGGTCTGAAATGTATCTGGGCGGTGAGGACCCGTCTCGCCCCCAGACCACGAGCCCAGCGAGGGCCTACGGTGCGCCCTCGGCATGGCCCGGAGACCCAGCCCACGGCTGAACCGGCCTCTGGGGTCTGACCGGGCTTTTGGACTGGAGACCCCTCCTCTCCCCCAGCCCCCAGCCTCCTCCAGCCGACCGCAGCTGCTGTCCCGACTGCGGCTGAGGCTGCGGCCTTGGCCTACGGTCAGGCTGGCCCACGCCTGGGGCGAGAGCTTCCTCCGTAGCCAGAGCCAGAGCCAGAGAGGCCGCACCGATGAAGGTGAGAGGCCCCGGAAGCACAGGAAACGCCTCTTCTGGCATGAGCCCTTAACCCCGGCTTCCCCAAGAGAGGAATGTGCTATTGGCCCCAAGGGCTCTGGCTGGGTGGCAGCTGCCTGGGCTCACGGGTGAGGGCAGTAAGGCCAGGAGGCAGCGGGCATTCGGACAGAGGTTATCCAAAGCCCAACCAAGCCCATGGTGGGGGCACAGACAAAGCAGGGCGGTCACAGAAATCAGTCTGTGTCTTTCAAAGAACGTATTCAAGGAAGAGCCTTATGGGGAAAGGGCGGATTTTGTAGGACTAAGCGTGCTCATCTTGCTTCTATTCGAAATGACCTTCTGGGGGAAGGCGAGGAGCCACGCCATTATCATTGTCGTTGCCCAGGTCTTCCTTAATCTGGGCCTCTGTGTGGGGAAGGCGGCACCAAGCCCGTCCCCTCTCCCCTTGCCCCGCCAGCTGCCGCTGGGCCTCCCTCCTGGCCTGGAGGCCATTCTGCCCCCTGCCCCCTGCCCCCTCCATCCTTCCTGCCTCTCGTGCTCACGCCCGGGGCACTTCCCGGAGTCCAGGGCTCTGCCTCCTCTCCCCAGGCTGCCGCTGAGTCACAGCCCCTGGCAGCCCTGCCTCCGACCCCAGGAGGCCTCTCGGGCAAGAGAGGGGCCTCTCGGCCCCAGCGGGGCTGGCCAGATGGAGGCTGGGCTCCGCAGCAATAACCATGGCAACCGGTGGGGGTGGGAAAAGCTGGCATTTTGAACTGGTATCAGGAAGCGAGGGGCAGCACACCACTGAACCAAGAGGGGAAGCTGCCCTGCCAGTGCCCTCGTCTCGTATTCCATGTCAGAAGGAGCAAAGTGACACCCAGAGGCCTTACAGTGCGCACACGTACAGGGTGTGCTGTGTGCCAGGCGCTGTTCCAGGGGTTTACACATGTTCGTGCATTTCCTCCTCACCCCAACTGTGGAAGGCAGACTCTATCTCATTAGCCCACGGGGGCACAGAGAAGGACAGTGGCCTGCCCGGAGGCACACAGCAAGCGGTAGAGCGGGACTCTGAGGCCACGTTCCATGGCCTGGGCCCTTCCAGCTGCCTCAGGGGCAGAGCCATGGCCTGAGGGAAGCTCGACCTGGCCAGTGATCCCGGGACTACAGTCGGTGCACCTTAGTGTCCGGGGAGACGGTTCCCCTCTTGAGGTAGGGGGAGCGCTGTAGACGGACGCCCTGCTCAGGGAGCGTTCTTTCTGGGGGACGGACAAGGTGTGCGGACAGCCCTGTTCTTTGTGACAGCAGACCTTTTTTATGTGGAAAGGGCCATTCTGGGCTGCAGTGATGTAGCGGGGGGGAGGACCCCGCTCATCCCAGAGGAAACCTGGCCTCAGTTCTCCTTGGGCTGTTGGTGCAGAGGGGCTGGGCCTCAGGAGAGCATGGGGACAGGCCATGGCCCCTCTGCAGCCCTGAGGGGTGTGCTGGAGGGCCTGGAGCCCCCTTGTCCAGAGTGGCTGATGCTGGAAATTGCCTCAGACAAAACTTAGAACGCCTCCTGCAGGCCAGGGCCACTCCGGGTCTGGGGGCTTCGGCTAATGCCAGGTGCCCTGATGGGACCGGCGGTAGGGTGTGTGTGCTCTGTGCAGAATGGACGTTTGTGGATGGATATGCAAGGGCTGTGGGTCAGCCCCACTCGCACCCCCCCCACAGCCCTTTGCTCTCCTGGCCTGCTTGCTCATAGTCATCTGAGACTGCAGGGCGGGCAGGTGGGGGGAGGAGGAAGTATAAGAAGGGGGTGAAAGGAGGCGGGCCCTGCATGGATCAAAGTCGCTCCCTCACTTGCCCACCAAGTCCTCAGCTGGCTGGCCAACTCACTGGGTGCCCCAAGGCCTAACAAGGGTAGCCCTCCCGTCATGACACCCCCTCTTGATCTCCTAGGATCCTCCCGCCGCTGGAAGGCCCCCCTACCCATGTGTCCCCTAGCAGCTCCGAACTTGGCGAGGGCTCCCAGCCTGAGTGGCCCGGGGGCAGCCGCTATGACCTGGACGAGATTGACGCCTACTGGCTGGAGCTCATCAACTCCGAGCTCAAGGAGATGGGTAGGTGACCCTCCAAGCTGAGAGTGGGGTCAGGGGCAGGCCAGGCAGGGCTCCTCCTGGGGTTCGGCATCCTCCCTGTCAGGACAGCAGCCACAGCTGGGCTTCGGCCCTGGGGGGCTGAGGCGGCAGTCCCTGCCACATTACCGACTGGAGAAGTTACTTGGTGTCTCCGTGCATTAGCTTCTGTAGGTGTCAGATGAAGGCGATAATAGCATGTGATTGAGTCTTTGGGAATATTGTTAGCGTGACTGTTACGTGAAGAGCGAAGGAGCACACACGAGAGTCTAGGACGACAAATGCGGCTGGGGCGGTTGGTCCAGACCTCTGGCTAGAGTGCACCGACATGCCAGGAAGGGCCAGCTGCGTCGTATTCAGCCACCTTCAGGTCCCCCCCCGGGACTCCCCATGGAGCCAGCCGCATCCCAGAGACACGTCTGTGTTATCACCACGTACACGTAACGTGTGCATAGTCCCAGCCAGGCCGTCAAAAGTCAGAACACAGCGATGGGCCGTGGGGCCTTTGAGATGGGACGGTCCAGCCCATTCAGTTTTCAGACAATGGAGCTGAGGCCCATGACAGTTGCCCTGTGTTCCCAGGTCACAGCAGATGAATGGAAACCCTGCCGTCCATCTGCCCTCAAAAGCCGGGCTCCTCACACTCTCCCCCGTTGTCCTCACAGACAGGCCAGAGCTGGACGAGCTGACGCTGGAGCGCGTGCTGGAGGAGATGGAGACGATGTGCCACCAGAACATGGCACGGGCCATTGAGACACAGGAGGGGCTGGGCATCGAGTATGACGAGGACGTCGTCTGTGACGTGTGCCGCTCTCCCGAGGGTGAAGATGGCAATGAGATGGTCTTCTGTGACAAATGCAACGTCTGTGTGCACCAGGTGGCCGCCCCCCGAGTGCCCTCAAACACACTGTGTCCTTGCACGCGGCCCGGCGGGCCCCAGCCCAGGCCGCCCCCCCTTGCGGGGGGACTGCTGCAGCGCCTTGGGCACAGGCCCCTGAGGAGGGGGAGGGCAGGGTGGGCGGAAGGGGCCGGCCTGAGTGCCCCTCGGCGCCAGAGACACGTAGGGCCCCTGCGCTCAGCGCCCCCGGCCAGCCCTGAGTCAGCACCCAGTGGGTGGTCTTTCTGTCCTTGCCTGCCAGCCTCCCCCCTGAACACCCTGCCCCCTGCCTCCCTCGCCACCCCTCACTGTCCTGACCTTACAAAGAGGCAGCACAGTGTCGTGATTGAGAGCAAAACCTGGAGCCAGGCTGCCTGGTTTCACACTGTGGCTCTGCCCTGTACAAGCTCCGTGGCTTTGGGCAAGTTTCTTAACCTCTGTGGACCTCTCTTTCCTCAACTGCACAGAAAAGTAAGTTGAAGGTCTGTCTGCATTGCTTGCTTCAAACAACATCATAAGGGCCCTAAGTATTTGTTACCATTGTTGATACTGTAAACTTGGTCTGACCTGACCAGGCCCACTGCCCGCATCCCCCCCCCCACCTTGATGTTGGGTGCAGGACTCTAGGTCGCGGGCATCCCTGGGCCTTGTCTGCAGAAGACCTGGCCGGCACACTGCAGTGGACCCGCTGTGGCTCTGACTCTGATGCCCCCCGCACCCCACCACACACACACGCTGCTGGTGGAACGTCTCCTGGGGAGCTCCGAGGGGCTCGCATGCTGGCAGGGGCAGCCCGCACACCCCTCTTCATCCACAGCCTTATACCCCGCGGCCCTTAGGTCCGGAAGCCTAAGACATGCCTGGGAGGAGCCCGCTTCACAGATGCCTGTGAGACAGAGGACAGGTCGCCCCTGTCCTCAGGCAGTGTACACACCAAAAATTGTACTCAACTGCTCTAAGGCCTCTCGCTGACTGGGACCCTCTGACTAGAGTAACTGTCCCCCCAGCAGAGGGCAGGCCTGGGCCCTTCCACAGAGGTCTGTGAAAGGGTGACATACAAGGCCCACAGCACAGGCATGGAGAAGCCCTCGGTTACGGGCCCTCAGGGGGTCTGCTTGCAGCTCCCCGCCCAGCGGGGACGGGCACACCCACCGCTGACCGCTGACCAGGTGCAGGCGGAGCAACACCGCTGATGGTGACCGCCCTGCTCTCCTCCCAGGCTTGCTACGGGATCCTCAAGGTGCCCACAGGCAGCTGGCTGTGCCGGACATGTGCCCTGGGTGTCCAGCCAAAGTGCCTGCTCTGCCCCAAGCGAGGAGGAGCCTTGAAGCCCACCAGAAGTGGGACCAAGTGGGTGCACGTCAGCTGCGCTCTGTGGATTCCTGAGGTGGGCAGGTGGGAGGGCGGGGGGCCCTGGGGAACAGCCATGGGGAAGTGGGTCTGCCTGGGACTCAGTTCCTGGGGAGCAGAGCACTGGGAGGAGGCGGCGAGGGCCCACAGAGTATGGGACCACAGGCACTGTGCCTGGGAGCAACTGGGGGAACAGCCGCCGGGGAACTTCGCTATGGACGTGGGCACTCGGGGTGGTGTCCATGGGAAAACGGGATTGTGGGCTCCCGGGGGATTGGTGGTGGGTCTGAGAGCGGGACCGAAGCCAAGCAGCGGACTCCAGGGGAAAGCAGGCTGTGGGGGTCCACCCTCATCTGGGCAGTGGTTCCAGTCAAAGTCAAGCTGCCTTTTTAAAATAAAACTAAGAGAACTGACCTAAAAGAAAACTGGGTGGCAAGACTAATTAAAAGCTAGCTGGTGGGCCTGCTGCTGGGGCTGGGGCTGGGGCGGGACAGGGGGCGTGCCTGGGTCTGGGTAGGGAGGGGCAGGGGGCTGTAGGCTGGGCCACAGTGACGCCGCGGAGGCCCCGGGCTCCCAGAAGGCGTCTAGTTTTGTTGGAAATGGGAAATGCCGAGATCACGGAGGTGTCAGCCTAGACCTGCTGTGTGCCAGGACCCGGAATGAGGCCTCACTCCCGGCCCCGAAGCAAGCCAGGTGGCCCTGGCAGCAGGTGGCCCTGGGCGCCCAGCCTGAAGGTCTTTGCTGGGACCCACGTTGCAGGCTTCTGTGATGATAGGGGTTGTGTCAGCAGTAGTCACCTCGCATAGGAGCGTCTGGAAGGCGGGGACTCCCATGGAGCACACCCTGGGTTGGGCATATCAGGGACAGAGAGAACCAACAGGAACCCCACTATGGGGGCCCTGTGGTTTCGGGCCTCCGGATGGGGCCCCTCTTCCATCCTTAGGCATGCGCAGCCGAGAGGGGTGGGCCGCACCCAGGAGATCTGGACGTGGTTGTAGGCCTGTGTGCCCATAAGAGAGACAGGAGGGGTTTGTCCTCATCCCCCTTAGCCAGGAAGGCCCCTGGAGGCCTCAAAGAAGAGATGGTACCCTGAGACCATTATTTGCTCCCCAGAAAAATAAATAAATACAAGGTAGGAAAAGAACTCTAAAGTTGTTAGTGACAAAGGCCAGAGGTACAGAAGAGAGGGGAACCTTGCATTTACTCTCCTGGATACACACACTGAAACATGTCCCGAGGGCCACACAGTCGTAGGCGCACACGCTCGCTCAGTTGCACCGCTGACGTGCACCGGCCCACACCGTCACAGGCCGTGGAAGGCTTGTCACAGGTGAGCCCACACTCAGCCAGTGGTCAGCACGCGACCTCCAGGAAGGGCTCGGGATCCAGGGGCTCCCCCGCCGCCTTGTCTGCCCCCTCCCCCCGGTTTCAGCAGACAGCCTCCCATTTGAGGATGGGGGGATTTTGAGGAGGAGAGGCCTGATGCAGTCCTCTGTGTCCCGCCCAGGTGAGCATCGGCTGCCCTGAGAAGATGGAGCCCATCACCAAGATCTCGCACATCCCGGCCAGCCGCTGGGCTCTGTCCTGTAGCCTGTGCAAGGAGTGCACAGGCACCTGCATCCAGGTGCGTGGCCGCTTCACCCCGTAGCTGCCCAGGAGCCCAGGCAGGAGCTGCAGAGCCGCTTCCGGGCTTCCGGGGCTGGGACCAGAGTCAGAACGCCCCCTGGGGGGCACCCCTCCGCCCCCAGTTCCCCTAGACACAGTACAGGCCTGCGGAACCACGGCTTGCCACCCAACATGGGGGCAGGGCTGTGCCGGCCCTTTAACCGCGGTGGCTCCCCTGTCCTAGTGTGACGGTTGCTACCTACCCGAGGGCTTGTTAAAGCCCAGATGGCTGAGTCTGATCCGTAGATCTGCATTGGAGCTGAGGATTTGCATTTCTAGCAAGTTCCCAGGTGACACTGCTGCCGCTGGGAGGCTGGGAGGAAGAGCATCCTTTCCCTCGTCTCTCCAGGAATCACTATCATTGCAAACACTAGCTGTGCCCCCGCCCCTTCGTAAGGCTTGCAGAGTGGCTCGTGAGCGCAGCAGATATGGTCACTAACAGTTGAGTGGGTTCTTGCTGACACAGTTCTCAGCCATGCAGCCGACGCCCGAGGCTGGGAGGGAGGGCAGGCGCTGGCCCCTCTTCCCAGAGGGCGGGGGCAGGGCACAGCTCCCCATCTGAGATAACGTTGCGGGGTTGGGGCGGCAGTGACCCATCGCCGGCCTCGGAGAGCCTCTGATCCCGAAGTCGTCTTGCCCACGCAGGCATGCAGCTCGCCCCTGAGGGGTGGTCCAGTCGCCTGCTGTTGTCTTCCCCAGGGTGTTAGGTGCTGAAGCTGTTCCCTTTGCTGTCCGCTCTTCCTGCCGACTGTAGCGCGCCGTCCGCGCCCGGCAGGGCGTCAGGAGCCCCTGCCGTTTTCTTTAGGTCTCAGTAGCATCCTTTGTTCTCGGGACCCTGTCCTTCTTACCTCCCATCAGGGTCCACTCCGTGCCTGACACTGCCCTTACTGTCCTTCCAGTGTTCCATGCCTTCCTGCATTACGGCATTCCACGTCACCTGCGCCTTTGACCACGGTCTAGAAATGCGGACTATATTAGCAGACAATGATGAGGTCAAGTTCAAGTCATTCTGCCAGGAACACAGCGACGGAGGCCCGAGGGTTGAGCCCACATCTGAGCCGGCAGAGCCGAGCCCAACGGGCGAGGACCTGGAGAAGGTGACCCTCCGCAAGCAGCGGCTGCAGCAGCTGGAGGAAGACTTCTACGAGCTGGTGGAGCCGGCCGAGGTGGCCGAGCGGCTGGACCTGGCTGAGGCGCTGGTTGACTTCATCTATCAGTACTGGAAGCTGAAGAGGAAAGCCAATGCCAACCAGCCGCTGCTGACCCCCAAGACTGACGAGGTGGACAACCTGGCCCAGCAGGAGCAGGACGTCCTCTACCGCCGCCTGAAGCTCTTCACGCACCTGCGGCAGGACTTGGAGAGGGTGAGTACTGCTGTCGGCCCCCGGCCCGGCCTGGCCCGGCAGCCTTCCCAGGAGGCCTTCTACCCCGCGGTCACCGCCCTGGAGCCCCTGTGGCTCCCCAGGACTCATGGAGAGCTTGGGCCCAGGCTGAGGGCCTCCAGGTTTCAGACAGGGTGGAGGTTACTGACACTTTGCAGAGCAGGGAGGCGTCCAGCGCTCAGGTCTGAGCCCCAGCCCTTTTGAAGGCCTGGGTGGAGGACGCAGCCCTGCCGGGGGAGACCAGAGCTGGGGCAAGGACCCAGGCGTCCAGCTCCTCGTGGCTTCCGGCCCCACTGGTGGCCTCTGTGGGCCCTACTTGGTCCCAGCACACAAGCTGCTGCTTAGACGCAGAGGCAGGGGGGGAACTGGTAACGACCAGTGAGCAGATCAGCCCAATGCATTTGTACTGGGCTTGGATGGGAAAGACAGGTGTGAACCCGGCTCCTGGGGACCCGGCCAGGGGGAGCCGGCCGGAGGAAGTGGCGTGAGCAGGGGGGCGAGGGCGGGCTGGAGACCCGCAGCGGCCTGTGTAGAGCCGGTGGAGGGTGGACCAGATTGGTCCAGAGACTGCTGTGACTGCCACTTTCTGTGACTGTGCTGCCATGACTGCCACTTCCAGACACACCCTGGACTCCTCCCAGGTCACAGGGCCTGGGGGAGAAGGCGGGCTGGCTCAAACCCCTAGCTGTGACCTGGGAGAGGTGGCCTTGGCTTGGTCCGGCGGTGGCTTTGGGCTGAGTGAGATGAGAAAGGGGCGAGCTGCGGAGTTTGCAGGGAGTAGCGGGGGCGGGGGGGGGGCAGGAAGAGCCGCTTCCCTGGAGCAGGGAGGCCCCCAAAACCTCTAGTCTCTCCTGCTCCCCCGAGAAAGGTGAGGGGGTCCCGCCTTCTGTGGGCTGTGCTCTCGAGCTTGGCTTTTCGGGCACTCCCCCCTGCCACCTCTGGCTGATAAGGTGCCACCCCCAAGTTGAGGGCAGCCCCAGGAGGAGACAGGATGTTCTGGGTCCTTGGCTCAGTCCTCTGTGCTCCAGGTGCTGGCCTGGTCTCTCTCCTGTGAGACATTCAGTCCTAGGGTTCCAGAGCCCATGGGTTCATGCTACAGTGTTCTCCAAAGGTAAAGACGCACCTGCCCACCTTTTCCCCAGGCCCCGTTAGGAAACAGCCCTGGGTGGAAGTGTCCCTCGGGCTTTGCACGACCGGAAGCGGCGGCTTTTCCTTCCGGGTGGCTCAGTTGGCAAGTCCGTACAGCGGGTGGAGGCACTCGGCAGACATTGTTCTGGGGGGAGGCTCTGGGACAGCTCGACGACTCCACCTTCCTTCACCCCCTTCTCTGGCCTTCTGCCTGGCCGCGCGGAAACAGCCCTGTTGGCCTTGGAGTCTGCCACCAGCGAGAGGTACGCAGGCGGTGGTACCAAATGTCCCTGGCTCCAGCCAAGGCAAAGGACAAGGCCACCTACATTGCAGTCAGCACTTCCTGGGCAGCCTCCTGTCTCTTGGGGCAGAGCCATCAGGCGCAAACCCTTCAGAGCTACTGCCAGTTGCCCTCAGGCCCCACCCAGGCCTCCGGCGCGAGCACCCTGCCTTTACTCCTGCTGTCCCCGTCATCTCCGGCTGCTCTGGTCCGTGCCGGGCAGCCCTTGTGCCTGGCCCTGGCTAGGCTGTGTGGGGAGGCCTGGGGGGCGGGCGCGCTGACTTAATCATCACCCTAGAAAAGGAGGTGAGCAATGGATACCCCCAGCCCCGGAGAGCAGGCAAGGGACCTGGTGCTCAGGGAGGCGAAGTGACAGGAAGCCTTGGAGACCATGTGTGTTCTAAGAGTTGGATTTAGATTGAATTGGGGTGGGGGGTGTCAGAAAGAGGGTTGTTGACTTACTATTTGGTACATATCCTGGGCAAAATCATCCTCCTATCAGTCCCTGCACCTCTCCACCGCCTTGCCAACTGGTACAGGTGTGCCCAGGGTCATGGCTGCAAGGGCTGGGATGCCAGCGAGCCTGCTGAGGCCGGCCTTGGGGCAACCAGAGCTGCCACACAGACCCCTCTGGCGGGGGGACAGAGTCCTTCAGAGTCGGGGGTGAGCCAGCCCACTCTTCCTCCTGGAAGCGGGGCCAGGACCGGCTCTAAGTCTGTGTGGCTCAGGAGGCCCTGTCAAAACGCTGCGTCTCCAGCCGCCCCTGGGCCGAGCTGGCGGCACCAGCTGGGAGCAGAGTGAGGGTGTGCACGGCCGTGTGCCAGGTCGACCTCCTTCAGGCCCAGCCCCGGGCCTTTCTCAGCCGTGTGTTGACGACTTGAGTGAGTGAACAGAGCCCAGAACTATGTCACAGGGGAGGCGTTCCGCAAGCAGCCGTGACTGCTAGTGGCCTGGCCAGCAGGCCCTGACCATGGCCCAGGGCTGACGGCCGGGAGTATCCGGCCTGTGACTGGGCACCAGGCCAGTTCGAGCTGGACCCATCGGGAGGATGCAGGGCAGGAGCTGAGATCGAGGCCTTGGGTAGCCAGGGTTTGCATCCAGTCCAGCCCTTCCCAGCTCTGTGCCTTCTGAGTTTCAGTTTCTACTTCTCTGAGTTTCACGTTCCATGTCTGTAGAATGGGAATAAGGATCGAACTACCCTTGGTTGGGGTCATAGCGAAGATGGGGGACAGAGCCTAGCACAGTGCCCTCTGTTGTTGGAGGTGGTTATCACAGCTGCTCTGGCTTGTAGAAGGGTGGCCGGCTCAGGAGGATGGGCCTCACGGAGAATCGAAAGCCAGGCCCAGGGGCTGGGACCACAGGGCATCCTCCCTGATCAGTTTGCCCCCAAGGTCAGGCAGGAGTTTTGCTGAGAGCTACAGAAGCTGGGGCCAAGTTGCTGCCACCAGGAAATCCCGTTTTAAGGTCCGCCTAGAAGATGTGCTTCTCTCCTGTTGTAGCCGTGGGCCTTGGCCCTGGTAGGCAGCCTGGGAAGGCGTGGCCACTGCAGCTCCCAGAGTTCTTCACAGCTGTCAGAAAAATTGCAGCACTGACCGGCAGCCCAGGGAGCGCACTGGTGTCCCCTAGCAACCGGCCACGAAGGCAGTTCAGGCTGCGCAGGGCTCCCTGCCTGTGGCCCTGGATCTGGTCACTAGGGTTTACTCGAGAGCCTGGCCCTGCCTGAGCGGGGTGGAGGGAGCAGAGGAGAGTGAGGTAGGAACACCCCCAGGCCCCGTTTCCCTTAGCTCTCCCAAGAGAGAGGAAGACCCTGCCACCCTCTTCCCCACGGCGGGGGGGCTGCCTCCCTGTCAGGTGGTCACAGCCCGTTCACTGTGTCCTCGGTGCCTGGGCCGTGGCCTGCTTGGCCTCCAGCACTCTGGCTCCTCACTCCCTGGGTCTCCCATCTCTGGGACTTTCCTGACCCATCAGGGCCCTGCCCCACTCAAACCCTGTCACCACCCTCGAATCTCCACATGCCCTGGTCCCCAAAGCCTCTTGGTCTCCCTGCTCAGTTGTCCCCCTCAGTTGGCTCTCTGCCCTTCGCTGTCCCTTATTTTCTTCCTTGGCATGAGCTCGCCCCGTGCCCCTACCCCATTTGGAGGCCATGCCCCTGGCAGAGCCTGTCTGAGGAGGAGCCATTCTCCTCCCACCAGGGATGATCTCATCGCCATGAGGAGGCGGGCCCCCCAAGGTGCCTGCCCCCTAGCCTCGGCAACACCCAAGCCAGCCACGTCCTGGGCTCCTGGGCTCCCGGGCTCCCGGGCTCCCCAGCCCACCACCGGTCTCCATCCCTCCCCCACCTCGCCCAGGGCCCCCCTCTCATAGCAGACAACCTGTGCCTCAGACCAGAACCCTCCAGCTTCGTGCCAGGAGACCCTTTGCCCACTCCCTGGCTTCCCGTCTCCTCCATCCACCAGCCCCGAGGGTCCCTTTCCAGCCCCCACCCTGCTGCACAGTCTCTCTTTTCTTCCACTGCTCTTCGTCGCCACAATTCCACCAGCATTCGAATGTGCTCTACCTTCTCCCATCTTTGAAAGCAGACCCTTCCTCCCCATCTCCCTCGAGTCGTGGGTTTCTCCGTTCCCGTCCCCTTCTCTCCTTCCCCATCGTCACTCACTGTTCTCACGTCCTTGCTTCCCGCTCTGGCCAAGCTCCTGCCACCGCCACATTCCAGAACCTTCCATCAGGGCCAACAGCCTCCATCTCCCTGGGTCCAGCGGCCACTTCTCCTTCCTTGTCTCCTAGCCCTCTTGGCAGCGGTTGCCCGTTGTGCCCTTGTTCTTGAGTAACTTTTCCTGTTGATGCTCTGACCAAATCCCCCCTTAATACTGCAGTTCTCTTTCCCTCTATGTCTCCTTGGTCTGTGAGCTTTGGCCACACTCAGCCTGGCCCCTCCATGCTCGTCGGCTCCACAGCCGTGCCCGCTGCAGGAGGCTGGCTCCAGCCGGGGCTCCAGCACCTCCTGTCCAGCACGCCAGCAGGGCCACACCTGCTCCTCCCATGGCCTCCAGGGGGCGCCCCAGCCCTGGCTCGTTCCAGGTCAAGCTGAGGGGCTGGGTGTCCTCTCTGCCCCTCCCCCTCTGCCCACAGCCAGGTTCTGTCTGCAGAACTGGCAGATATCAAAACAACTTCATCAAAATGCAAAATCTGCTTTTATTACCCATCACTGCCCTTGCCTTCGAAGATTTTATACTTGATTCTTTCATTTTTTTAAGAGAATGTTTTATCTTTACAATCAGAAAAATCAGTAATGACAGTATAAGGAGCTTGACAGCCTGAGGGACCTTCTAAGGTGGTGCCCGTACTTGGTCCCCCAAAGCCATCTCAGAAGAGACGTCCTGCAGCGTTCAGTCACCGGGGAGCCCTGGGAGAAAGCAGAGGAGTCGCTGATGGTTCCAGAGTCAAGTGGGAATGAGGGTCAGGCTCGGGGGAGTGGCCAAGGAGGTGGCCTCCGTGGGGTTCTCTCCGAAGGAAGCGCCTTGTCTTCCGTAGCAGGACTCTCCGGGCGTTCCTGATTGTGCAGCGTGCCCTTCTCGAGGAAAGAAATGGAGTGTTTCTCTGGAATATATTGTACTTTTAATATCTATTCACATCTACCACTGTTTATTATAAAACAAACATTCAGAATTTCTAACAGGGTCAAAAAACAAACCTGCAGAAGTTCCAATACTCCCTCAGTGTCCTGCGATGAACTCTCACTCGGTAGCCTGGGCAGCTGACGCAGGAGGGCGCCGGCTGAGGCCAGCAGCTCCGATGCCGCAGTCGCCCGTGAAGTGCGTGTTTGACGACCCCACGCCCGGAGAGTCTGATAGGCCCTCAGGCCCGGGAACCTGTGTGTGCAACCAGCCGCCCACGGGGTCTTGATGCCCGTAGGTCACTTGGGCCTGCCTTTGGGATCTTCCTCTGGAGTTGCAGGTAGAAGACAAAGCAGAGGAAACTACATGTGGATTTTACAAGGAAGTAATTAAGTATAATTCTTGGTTCTTTTGGGCAGACATCTGCTGACTCTGGGCCTCGCCATATCTGGCTTCTCACCTTTAGAGGTTAGGCTGAGGGTGAGAAAGCTCCACAGCGGCGTGTCTTAGGAAAGTTTTAGAAGCCGGACCCTAGCGCTTCTCGGCCTTTTGGTTGTGATCAGGCGTGCTCTCTGTTCTTACCAGTTTAATGTCCGATACGTCCTCGATCTGAGGACAGTATATTAGATGGATTGTTGGAGCCAGGAGATGGGATAGGAGCTTGCTCTGTCCACTTCATACATCGACCTGATATCGCAGTGCTTCTGGGAATGGTGCACAAGAAAAGGAATAAATGAGTAAAAATAAAAGCTGGACCTTGACCTATTTGTTTTTAAGTTAGATAATCTTGACTGGTTTGTTTTGAGAGCCTCCCAAGGAGCCACAAGCCCGTCCACTTCTCTTCATCCCCACTGACCTGCGCACACTAGGCCACGGGGCTGCCAGGAAGGACCAGGCCAGGGCACAGGCAGGGTAACGTTGGGGGTCTGATGCAGGAGACAGGGGCGGCCTGCGGGGTTGGGGGGGTGCATGAGCCAGGACCCGAAGGACAGGGCCCAGCCCTGGGAAGGGAAGAGGGAAGAGCACTTCAGGCCGCGAGTTGAACATGCACTGGGGATCCAAGGCAGAAGTGGGCTGGGCACAGAGGGAGGGGGACGAGGGTAGTGCCGTCCCAGAGGACTGTTGGGACAGGGGCTGGGAGGTGACAGTGGGCCATATTGAACAAGGCTTTGGGCTGTCTGTTTTGTTTCTTGTTGTTTCACCGTGAAGGGAGGGGCGCTGTCCGTGTTTCCTATGGCTGCTGTGGTAACAACGGGCTGTAGACGCGGCGGCTTTAACCTCAGGCGTTGGCTTTCGCGCAGTTCTGGATGCTGAAGTCGCCCAGGTTGATCCCTCCTGGAGGCTGAGGGAGGACCTGTCCCCGCCTCTGTCCAGCTTCTGGTGGCTGCCAGCAACCCGGGCGTCCCTTGACTTGTGGACCCCTGACTCCAGTCGCTGCCCCTGTTGTCATGTAGCCCTTCTCCCTGGGTGGTCGTCACAAGGCCTTCCATAAGGACACTAGTCGGTGGATTCGGGGCTCAGTCACATCCAGCCCGGCCTCATCTTAATGAACTGCATCTGCGGTTCCAGGTGGACGTGCACGTGGGCAGGGGCCGCTCTTCACCCCACACGGGAGCCATCGGAGGGTTTGCATTCGCATTTCAGGAAGATCGGTCTGGGCTAGCCGAGGGGTCTGTCGGATGGCTGGCTGTCCAGCTGGAGATGGTGGGGGTGACTGAGGGGTGAAAGGGCTGGCGTCTAGGAGTCGCGTTCCCGGGAAGGACTGACGGCCATGCTGGGGGACCCTCTGGGGGGGGCGGCGGGGGAGGAGCTGGGCCATGAAGGGGTGACTCCGGGCTCTCAGCACTTACCGCTCCCCCGCCCCCCATCAAAAATCCCTGCACAGCTCGGGCCTGGCTGGGCCAAGCCTGGGAGCCTGCCACTGCGGCCGCAAGGCCTTGCTCGGCTCCGCCCTGCCTGGCCTTCCTCTGGGTTCCTTGTCCCAGCCTGTGCCCCTCTCTGTGACCAATTCCCCCTCGGCCCAGCGGCCCTCTCCTCAGGAAGCCTCCTTCATCACCCAGGTCTGGTTCAGGGCTGCCTGGTCCTGTCAGTACGTGGTCAGCATCTCTCTGCCCAGCTGGGCGGCAAGGCCTGAGGAGAAAGGGACCTGGACAGCACCGCTCACTGCTGAGCGCGGGCCCAGCACAGGAGTTCGCAGAGCCTCCGCCTGGGCCTGGGGCGCGTGGGAGGCCCCGGGACGTCGGGCGGTGCCCGTGTGCCAGAGCAGGGCTCTCAGGTCCGGCCGGGGCTGCCCCCTGGAGGCGGTGCCGGCCCCTCGGGTGGCCTGCTGGTCACACACTAGCAGGAGTGCCGCTGAGGGTCTGTCCTACAAGGCCAGGCTTGGCGCAGGTGTTCAAGGCTCTCTTTCACAGCCGGCTCAGGAAGCAGATGAGGACGCTCGTGCCTCCTGAGAGGCCGGGTCACGGCCGCCCCACCCCACCCTCCGCACCAGGAGAATGGGGCTCGTGACAGCAGGCCCGGGCTCTGAAGCCCAGAGGTCACTGCCAGGCAGCTCAGGGACAGGAAGCCTGAACTCACCATTGAAGACGGAACCCAGCGGGAGGCAGGGCACTAGTTTCGGCTGGGAAGACGCTGGTGAGACTCAGGAGGCCAGTTCAGCAGCTCCTCGCCGGCTGTCCCTGCTGCCGGAGGTTCTGACCCAAACTGAAGATGACACCAGAACCAGAAAGTATTTTGAGGGAGAAGGCCTGGTCTTGGCCCAGAGAGCAGCCGGCGGGAGTGTGCACCCTGGGCAAAGGTGCCCCGCGGACAGGTGCTGCCAGGCCAGGGAGCGCCCCTCTCCCGGGCCCTTGGAGGCCCTTTGGCTGCTGGGAGTCAGAGCCCCTGCCCGCCTGGCCCCGCGAGGAGGTCTGTCTCCGGCTGAGCGAGGTGCCATGTGGATGGACGTGGGGGCCCTGGCCGGCGCAGCTGGGGCCTGGCTCGGGTCCCAGAGCAGCAGGCGGACCCAGGTGGGTTGGGGGCTGCCTGCCTGTTCACAGCTGTTGCGCCGGAGCTCTCTCTACGCCATGTACCCTGGCCTTTCATGTCTCAGGATAGGAGGTGGGTTTTGCCGTGTGGCTGAGGAGTTTCTTTGACGAGAAGGAGGCCCGGGACAGGAGGCAGAGGGATAGGCTCGGTGACCTCGCGAGGCCCCGACGCGCCTTGGTGAGCCGTGCACCTAGGGGAGAGCAGCCGTGTTAGGAGGGCCACGGGCAGCGGCGGGACTGACTCCGCCCGGAAGGCGCAGCCACCCACCCAGCACTCGGCTCCCTCGTGCTCAGCGGTGGCCGCAGGGCCAGGGCCGTGCCTGGCCCCAGGGTTTGGATCAGAGAACTGTGCTTAGGGCAAAGGACATGCTCAGGGCCTGGGAACAGATTTTCAGACGTCCTGGGCAGGTCTGGCACGGCGGCCACCCTCGAGTAAGGCGGACAATCTCTCTTGTGTCCCCCAGGTTAGAAACCTGTGCTACATGGTGACGAGGCGCGAGCGAACGAAGCACACCATCTGCAAACTCCAGGAGCAGATATTCCACCTGCAGATGAAACTCATCGAACAGGATCTGTGCAGAGGTAGCGCCCTCGCCTTCCCTCCCCACCGCTGCCGCCGCCACAGTGAGCAGGCTGCTCGGGGGCTGGGCCCCGAGGAGGGCCTGGCTGTTGGGCCGGGTGTGGGGGCCCGTGCAGGGGCGGGGCCGCTGGCCCCACCCCTTCCCTTCTTCATTCAATTCCTGGGCCAAGATGGGGACCTCCCAGGGCCCTCGGTATGTATTGTTAGGCAAGGAGCCAGAGAATGGACTGTGAGCATCAGGCCAGCCCCCTGGTTCCTTGGGGACACCCAGGCAGTGCCAGGGCCGCAGTGGTTCAGGAGTAAATTGCACGTGAAGAGGTGAGGACAGAGGTCCTGGCACTGGGGCGGGAAGGGCCAGAATGGCGGGCTCCCCTGCGCCCCCCCCCCCCCCTGAGCCCGCGGGTTGATCCTGAAGAGGGCGCCGCCGGGTGAGGGGGGAGGCCCTGCGCCGCTTTCTCTCGGGCCGCGTGTGGGTCAGGCCCTGCGGCGGCAGCTTCCCCTCTGTGCTCTTCTTACTTTCCTGCATCACGTGCATTTAACAGATCTGGAAATCAGAGGCCAAAGGACCTCTGACATCGCTTTTGCCTGTTCGTTGTGTGGGTATTGCCAGGCACGGGCCCCTTCCTGGAGTGTTCACGTGTTAAGTGGGGTGATGCTTGACCCCAGCAGCGCTGCTCTCCTGCTGAATTGCATGCAGCAGGGGTGGGGGGATGGAGAGAGATTTGAGCCGGGCCCTGCCGCTGCCCGCTCAGCCTCTGGGTCAGGCCAGGCATGGAGTGGACAGAGAGCCACCGATGGGCCTGGGGTATACAGAGGGCCACTGACAGGACCGGGCCTGCCACCCCTGCCGAAAGCCAAGCTGCCTCATCTGCACTTCGGCATCACCGTCCACTCTGGCCCACAGCACCAGGCACGCCCGGTGCAGGGGTTGGGCCAGGGCGGGTCACAGCCGCGCAGGGATCTCCATGCGCCCCCAAGACTAGGGCAGCTTCCTGGCTCCGGGAGCTTTGCCGGGCTCCACCTCACCCGTTGATGATTCGGTGAGCACTAACCGAGCGCGGACGGGGGCCAGGCCGCGCTGGGCCCTGCGGGGCACACTGCTGCGGGCTGAACGGACCGGCGCTCCCGCTCTCTGGAAAGATAAGGGGCAGTGGCACCAGCGCAGGGACAGAGGGGTGCGGGGCGGCCTCAGGGCGGCAGTGGTTCTGCGGTGACGTCCGAGGCTTACGGTCGGGGCTGCAGAGGGCAAGGCATGCGGCGCCCCGCCGCGCAGGATTCCAGGCCACGGTCAGGAGCCAGGGGGCCCGCATCCCGCGGTGGACCGGGGGACACTTGCAGCTCCTAGACCGGAGTGGCCGCAACAGCAGGACATTCGAAGAGAGCACTGGTTTGCCTCTGCCCGCGGCCGACGCCCTCTGTGCTGTGCGCTTGACCCCGGGGGTGGGGCGTGGGCGCCAGGCGTGCTGCCCAGGCCTCTCTGGCCACAGGGCTGGAGAAGGCGTCCCGGTGGCAGTGATGATTAGGCTCTGAGCTGCACCAGGTGAAAGACAGGACAAGGAAAGAGCATTTTTGGAGCTTGTCACATTAGAGAAGCTGGAAGGAGGCCGGCGTAGGTGCAGTTAGAGGGGATGGAAGGTGTCTAATGCGAGGCTGACGGGTTGCCAGAGTCGGCTGTGCAGGGTCCTCGGACACCTATGAGGAGCTCGGACTGTGCTGAGAACAGTGGGGGCCTCAGAGGCCTCCCTCCACAGTGTCTGCACTGGTCCCGTGTTACAGACGTGGAGGCCTCGGCCTGGTGTGAGGTTGCACAGGAATCATCAGCTGAGCTAGGAAGGTTCCGGAGCTGGGGCCACACCCCCCCAACACTCTTACCCTTATTCAGAAAGCTCTCTAGCCAGCAACTGAGAAGCTGGGAGAGTATTCCTGGCAGCTGGGTCTCCGCGCCCCCCGCCCCTGTCACGGCCCCCCCACCCGCCCCCGCTCCTGTGTTCTCCATGGCTCCTTAGGCCTGTGTGGTCATGGACAGAGGGGATGTGACGCCAGGCGTGGACCCGGGCTCCAATCTCCTGTCTGGCCTCAAAAGCAGACCAGGAGGCCAACGCAGGAGACTGGCTCACGGGGGCTGTAACCAAAGCCTCTTGACTTCTCAGCCTGTGTTCTGTCCATCTTCGTGTCCAGGTTCTGGGCCTGGCCTTCAAGGCCCTGCCCCGGCCGCTCGCCTCCAGCCCCGCCCGCCAACCCCTGAGTCGGCTCTCCCGGGACCTGTGGGCCGTGCAGGCAGGGCTGCAGCGCAGGCCACGTGGTCCTGCACGCTTCTTGTGGCCCTGTGCCCTCCCCAGGCCCTGCCAGAGCAGCTGTGCGCAGTGACCATATTCTCCCACACCGGTGTCCCTTGACTCCCTGGAGCCCCCTTGTCCCGCGCTCCCGAGGCTCTGTGCCCGGGGTACAGAGGCAGGGCAGGGTGAGCTGGATGGTGAGGTGCCAGGTGAGGGAGGACTCCTGGGGTGACATGCCGTGATCTCAGTTCTGGCTCAGGCGGTTCGGGATAACCACCTGCTCCCTCTTCCTGGCGCAGAGCGGTCTGGGAGGAGAACAAAGGGCAAGAAGAGCGACTCGAAAAGGAAGGGCCATGAGGGCCCGAAGGGCAGCCCCGAGAAGAAAGAGAAGATGAAGGCGGGGCCCGACTCGGTCCTGGGGCAGCTGGGTGAGTAAGGGCCACACTGGCTTGGCTCACTGGCCTGGCTCACGCCGCCACTCCGCCTTCAGTCCCCGCCCCACGGGAGGCCAGCCGGCATCACCGGCGCCCCTGCTGCTCAGAGCGGGAGCCTCAGGAGGGGTAACCAGGCCCTTTTTGCCCAGGGACCCCCTTCCAGGCATAAAGGCCACCAGGGTTTCAGAGCCGAGTTGCCATCCCGAGAAATTCCCCCTCTGTAGACCTGGAGGATGTGCCCGGGAGCTCAGGAACTGACCGCCCCTCCCGCTGGCCAGGGTCTGGGTAGGAGATTGCCCCGGGGGCCCTGAAGGGACCCCTAAACCCTCGGGGCCCTTCCAGGAGCCCAGGCCTGTATTTAGAAGTGAGGGCCCCAGAATTCTCCATCCTTGTCCCACTCTGCTGGAATCTTTCCAAATGGGCCCTCTCCTCAGTACCAGGGACCTTCACGGGGCCACCCAGAGAGACCCAAAGGAGTGGCCAAAAGCTGACCCAACCCGTCTTCACCGTCACAGACAGAGTCCTTACTGCTGCCCCGTTAAGCGAAGCAGCCGTTGAGGGGAGCCCAGCAGTGAGCTTTAGCTCCTAGGACGTCACATGCCTCCCAGAGCACCTCTCAGGGGTCCGGTGGAGTCCCCTTCTGGACCTCACTTCTAGCGTGGGAGCCCCCAGGCACCTCGGCCTCAGGAAGAGGACTGCTTGGGTGTTTGACGGGAGGCCCAGACTCATTGGCTGTGTCAAGACCTGAGTAAAGGAGGCATAGCCCACAGCTGTAGCAGGCCCTGACCTCCAAGAGGGGCGTTATACCCTGGTACTTTGCCACCCTATTCATGCCTGACATTCTTATCCAAGTTCCTTGCCTTGGACGCTCAGGGACACGATGCTCATAGAGATTCAGCGCCCCCTGGTGGCCAGAGGGCATTTTTTTTTTCCTCCACCCCTTGCGCCCCCCAGGATGGGGGTGGGTGGTGAGCAGGGCCTGCCCCATGTGTGTGCACCTGTGCAGTCTCAAAGGCCCTTGCTTGGTCTGATGTTTTACTGTGGCCACCTTGAAATTCTGACTGACTTTTGAACAGGGAGCCTGCAGGGAGGACGGTACTTGGTGGCATGCCGGGAGGGCCAGACAGGGCTTCCTGAAAGAGGGTGGGACAGACCCGCTGGCATCTCACCTCCCTCCTCTCTCCCCGCCGCCAGGCCTGTCCACCTCGTTCCCCATCGATGGCACCTTCTTCAACAGCTGGCTGGCACAGTCGGTGCAGATCACAGCGGAGAACATGGCCATGAGTGAGTGGTCGCTAAATAACGGGCACCGCGAGGACCCTGCTCCGGGGCTACTGTCCGAGGAGTTGCTGCAAGATGAGGAGACGCTGCTAAGCTTCATGCGGGACCCCTCGCTGCGACCCGGTGACCCTGCCAGGAAGGCCCGTGGCCGCACCACCCGCCTCCCTGCCAAGAAGAAGCCACCACAGGATGGGCCCGGTTCACGGACAACTCCAGACAAACCCCCCAAGAAGCCCTGGGGCCAGGATGCAGGTGGCCAAGGTCAAGGACCACCTGCCAGGAAACCCCCGCGGCGAACGCCTTCTCACCTGCCGTCCAGTCCTACAGCTGGGGACTGTCCCATCCCAGCAGCCCCCAAGAGCCCACCACTGCTGGCCCCTGACACCCCCGACGAGGCAGCCCCAATAGCTGCTGACTCGAAAGTCCAAGTGCCTGGCCCTACGGCGAGCCCCAAGCCCCCGGGCCGGCTGCGGCCGTCCCGCGAGAGCAAGGGAACCCGGAGATCATCCGGCGCCAGGCCTGACGCCGGGACAGGACCGCCTTCCACTGTGGCTGAGAGGCCAAAGGTCAGCCTGCGCTTTGACACTGAGACTGACGGCTTCTTCTCCGATGGGGAGATGAGCGACTCGGACGTGGAGGCCGAGGACAGCGGGGTGCAGCGGGGTCCCCGGGAAGCAGGGGCGGAGGAGGTGGTCCGCATGGGAGTTCTGGCCTCCTAAATCCCCCCCTACCCCCGTCTCAGGCCCTGCCCCGGTCCCCCAACGAGGCCTCAGCCCAGACACAACTGCCATTTCCAATCTGCTGAGTGTCCCGGACCCTCGAGGCTGCCACTCTGTTGTGGTTTTATTTTTAATATAGAGAGAGTTTCGAATTCCACACTGTTGTCTTTCCTCTGTGCTGGCCCAGGACATGAGGATCCCTTCCATGGCTTCGGCTGCAAGGACTGGGCCAGGTCCTGGCGGCGCCCCTGCTGCTGCAGCAGCATCCCCGCCCGGCCCCCGGGGCCTTGCTGGGCTCCTGGCTCGAGGCAGGCAGGTGAAGAAGAGCTCAGGAGGCCAGCCCGCTGCCACTGGGAGACACAGACTGTCGTTTGGGCATTATTTCATGGCAGATGGGCCGGGCCAGGGTCTGCCCACCTTGCCCTCGAATCCCACTGGAGTCCACTTGGGGGGTCCTGCTGCACTCCACTGATCCCCACGGAAGTATATAAGAGCTACCCAGCCAGAGTCTACTCACTGTCACAAGCACAACGAGCTTATCCGAGAAAGCACTGAGGGGGCGCAGAAGGCCCCGCTGGTCCAGGGGAACCGCCGCCGTTCCTATCGACCCACATCTAGGCCTGCCCGCCCACCCCGCAACCCTCCACTCCCTCGCTGCTCTGCCCCTGCCGGCGCCCAGCCCTGCAGCTCCAGGAAAGGGTTTCTGGAATCCTTCCTGAGCTGTGCCACTTACTCAGGGGACTCCCAAGCAGCCAGCCGCCGGTGCCCGTGGAGGGCTGCCAGGGGGGCCAGAGCCCAGGCGGGGGCATGGGGCTCGGGCTCGCCCGCTGCGGAGAATCGCTCTGGGGCTCCAACTTCCTTCCTTTCTTTGCGGCCAGTCTCGGCCGAAGTCTGGTCGCTCCCAGACAGCTGACCAGACCAGACCGGTTGCCTTTTCACGTTTCCCAGTCCAGCTAAGAGATGAGCTGCTTCCTCGGTTTCCTTAGGGAAACCCCTCCTTCCGACTAGCAGTGGGATCCCGGGGCCCAGGCGGCCGCGCCGGCTGCTGGGCTGTGTCGAGTCTTGCTGGAGGCTCCTGGTTCCTCTCCCTCCAAGCCTTAACCCCCTTCCCGGCCGCGCCCTCCCTCCCACCACCTATCTGCCTTTCCTCCCTGTCCGCCCCCCCAGGTGCCAGGTAGTTGCTCTGAAGAGTTTTAGTGGAGTGGCCCCAGGGTGATAGCTCAGGGAACAAACTAAAGAGGAATTCAGTGAAAACATGTTGTTTATCTTTTCTTTCGTGAATTACTCCTGGGTCACTTCCGCCACTGGTAAAGCCAGAACTTCTCCAACAAGAACCTTGCAAAAGTCCAGTGAATCAGTCGAATCATTCTATGGATGCCAAAGAATATTTTGACCATAACACAGCACAGCTTGGACCTAACAACTTGTCACTTGGACGTTTTGTTTTTTTTTTTAATGGAGTTCTTTAGCAACAAAGTACAGAACCACGTTCATTGCACACACCCAAGGAGACAAGCCCGAGCTCTTGGAAGAGGATGCAGTTCTGCCGTCCGACTGTGGGAACCAAGAACCGGGTGCAGGGTTCCAGATCCGGGACTGGGCCCGCCGTGAGCTTTCTGAAGCCCACGGAGGAGAGGGGCGCAGGCAACGAAACCAGCACGGCCAGAGCCTTGACCGTGAGGTTCCCCCTGCAGACACACAGCGCAAATCAGCGGGACGGGGAACAGCTTGACCACTCACCCCCGACTCCAAACTACCAAGGTACGACAGTGGCGTTGTCATCGATACTCAGCTTTATGTGAATTTTAGCAAAATAGGAAACAAAGATAATGACTAAGTTCAGGGGATCGGACAGACGTGTCCAGTGGCAACAGACTCAGCAGGCCGCGAGGATTCTGAGCGTTGGGACGGCCTGAGCCACCAGGTGGAGCCGAGCCTGCCTGCCCGCCGCCTGGGCGGTGGTGGCCCGTGCGGGGTAGGCAGCGCCCAGCCCCATTCTCTGTTTACTGCCTTGGAACAGACCTCCTCCCGACCCCGCGCTTCAGGCTGCAGCCGCGTGTGTGCCAGGCTGCCCGGTCTGACCTCGCAGGAAGAAAAGGGACAAGCTTAAAGAACAACCAAACTCTCCCCGGGGCGTGAGGGCAGGGGTGCCAGGGATGGCCGAGGTCCAGTAGACTCCGCACTCACCCCCTCACCCCTTCCTCCATCCTGAGGCAGAGTCTGGGCCCCCCTGGGGGGGGGGGCCCGGAGAGGGAGCCAGGCGGGTCTGGCGTAGGCAGGGCAGCCAGCCCTCCTGGGCCTCAGCTCTGCTCGAGTTGCCTCTGGGTTCGGGCCCTCTTCGCAGTGGGCTCTTGCTTTGGTCTGGGTTGTCCCTGGGGCCAGGCCCTAACCTTTCGTCCTCAGGCGGCCGCCCACCCTGTGGACGTCTGCCAGGCTGCAGGGAGGACGGGGCGCCAGTTTCCACTCCGTCCCACCATTAGCCACGACCCCTTCACTCTTTCCCTGGCCTGCTGCCCACCGTGTTGACGGCTTTGCTGCCCCTAAGGCGAGGGCGGGAAGAAGGCAGGGGGCTGGGGCAGACCTCGCACTTGACCCCACAGCCCACACTCACTGGCCCTCAGGGAGGGCGAAGCTGCTCTGTGACTCGTCCTGGCTGTCACCCTGTTTTCCCAGCCCCCACCGCCACCTCCCCCCATCACAGTGAGGAATGATAATGTGCAAGGAAAGTATTTTTATGGATCATAAATGTATTTTACAACAAATAAGGAAAAGAAAGGCAGAAGGGTTTATTTTACTAAATGAGCTCTGACTTGGCGACAGTGTGCGCGCGTTTGTAAGGGCCTCGGTTTCCTTGGAGAAGCCGCCCAGGTTCCCAGGCATGGGGTTGGACTGCGGATGTGTGAGTGCACGCGTGCCGGGGCACGTCTCGTGTGCCCACGGGCACGCGTGCGGCTGCGTGTTGTGGATGGGCACACTGTGGGACTTGCTGGGGCAACTCCTAGAGAAGCAACCGCTCCACTCAGACATTGGCAGCAGCCGGATGTGGCCGACCTCTCTGCACGTGCCCACGGCTCTGCGGGGCGGCCTGGATGCCGGCAGCAAGGCCCCTGGGGCGGCCACTCCCCATGCCCGTGGCCCAACTGGCCACATTGGCCGAAGAGCCAGGGCTGGAGTCCGGGACTTTCGGTTGTTCTTTAGGGCACTGCCTGCCCCCTTGTCCCTCAGATGCACAACACTGTGCTCCGCGTCGGCTCGGGGTGGGGTGGTGATATGAATGTCACAGGAGGAGATTCCTCCTGTCTTTGTTTCACAGAAAGTGATGTGCCATTTGTTAATATACAAGAGAAATATTGAAAATATATTGAAAAGAGCAATTTTAAATTATTTTTGGCTTATGTTGCAATATTTATTTTCTTGTATTAGAAAAGATTTCTTTGTAGAGAAAAAAATGTATTTTTCATTAATGCAAAAACCTATTTCTCCTTTTTGTACATTGTCCGTGTTCGCTACCCTTAACAAGCAATAGAATGTATGGCCGCCCCGGTGTGGCCAGCGCCTGCCGTGCCCTGCATGACTCTGTGTTGCCGCTGCTACGTAGCTTCCAGTCCCATCCTGTCCTGCTCACTCATGGGGTTTTCGGATCCGGCCCCCGCCAGGGCCTGTGTCTCAAGGAGCCCTTTGCACTCCTCATGTGTTGGCAAACGCAGTTAATAAAGCGACGTTTTCTGTGCTGGCTGGTGTGAGCCTTCTTCATTGCACTGAGTAGGGCAAGGGGTCTGAGGGTGCTGTGCGCCCGCCCGACGGTGGGCTCTGTGCGGCAGCAGTGTACCCGGGGTGTCCCAAGGGGCCCGCTGCTCCCTCCCAGGGAGTCCTAATAGTGATGGCCACAGTGACCGCTCTGTGCCGGCCATGCCGGGCCTGGGCCTAAGGGCCACGTGATTTCTGCGCCTCACTGTTGCCGCCCCCGGAACTCAGAGCAGATGAGGGATGTACTGAGGCCGCACTCTGGCAAGGAGCGAAGTCCTGCGTCACGGGCAGGACCGGGGGTTTCTCGCCACCCCTGTGGACCACCTGCCTGGGACAACGGAGAGGTTTGGGGGCAAGCCTGGCCATCTAGCCCCACGGCAGGGGAGCACTCTGCCCAGGTTTGTTTTTCATTCACTATTTCCTGAGAACAAACTGCACCCCAGGCTCTGGAGAGTGTGGGAAATGTCACCACCCCTGCCTAGGGCAGCGCAGTCCAGCCGGGATGCAGACACGAGGCACCCGGAAGTCAGCGTGCAGGCCTGGGCTCATGGGGTGGGTGCGGGGACACTCAGGAAGCAACACCAGTCTCTGATTCATTCACTGATTCATTCAGTCATTCAACAATGAATCTGTTGACCACACCCCTGGTTCGGCCAGCCTGTTGGGTTGTCTACTGTGCATTTCACCAGGACCCCGCCCTCTTAGAGCTTCCAGGCACTGGGACCTGAAGAGTCAACAGCTGCTTGCCTAGGGGAGCTGGATAGAAGGAAGAGACAGGAAGCCTTCCTGGTCGAGGGTTTGGCCCAGGTAAAGGCCAGTCAAGCTACGTATGGGGGAGGGGGTCTTAAACCTCAGATCCAAGGGGAGGCTGTGTGGAAAGGGGACTGAACAGGGAATCTAGCTTCCAGAGCCCCTGACTTAGTTCTTTAAGGCAGAGAATTGCCCGATTTTCTAACCAGTGCAATAGGAGGCAGGTCCCCAAAGGCACCGTTAGATCCCAAGCTCTGTGATTCCACGATGCGGAAAGCCCTGGAAATGACCCTGGGCTCCTGGGAGGCCCGCCCACCCCGCTGCGGTTTGGAGCGGCTCTGGCCGGCAGCCCTGGCTCAGCGCCCCAGCCTCTCCCGCCCCACCTGGCCGCCCGAGGCCCTAGTGGTCCAGAGGAGTGATGCGGGTCCCCCAGTCCCCTGCGGGGCTGCTCCTGGCAGCGGACCCAGCTGGCAAGGGTGGGGCGCCTACGGGTGTGAGGCAGCGATGTTCAATAGAAACGTAGAGCAAGCGATTCCAGTAGCCACGCATTTAAAGAGAAAAAAGTACAAGAAAAGTGAATTTTAATCATTGTATTTAACCCATTATATCCAAACGGATCACTTAAACATGTAATAGAAAATAATTAACAAAATCACTGTAGATTTCTTTTTCATGCTGAGTGCGTATTTCACACTCACAGCACATCTCAATTCAGACCAGCCACATTTCAAGGTCGACACCCAGGTAGGTCGTAGCTCTCCGTGGGCAGCACAGCCCTCGTGGCCGTCAGCTGTCCCCTGGATTGCCGTGGTCTCATGCTGACCTGCTCCTAGGCCTTCACTCCTGTCACAGCCTCTGCTGTCCCTGCCCCCTGAGGGACCGGGAGGACAGCACAGGTGTCGGTTGACGTGGTTGCAGCCCCCGCCCCCCCCGCCCCTGTCCTGTGGAGGGCCAGTTCTCTGCCAGCACCTCCCGGGAGGGGGTGTCCGCTCCCGCACACTTCAGTCGTGCCTGCGCTGATTCCTCACTCCCTGAGCACCTGAGGCCACCAGCATGGCCCCAGGCCCCTCTGGAGAAACCAGGCCAGCGTGGGACACAGGCTTGGATCAGATAATCCCAAGGCTATGTGCAGTTACCACTGAGACTCTGCCGCCTGCGAGTGTAAAGCCTGGCGGGGGGAGGGTCCCTGCCACCCCGACCTTCCCTCATTCTCGCTAAACTCCCATAAGTAGCTTCTGGGGCACCATCTCCATCTACCACCCGCCGGGCCCCAGCCCAGACGCCTCCATGTCCGAGTGCCGAGGCCCACAGGGCCGGGCCAGCCCCGCATTCCCCTGTCTCAGAACTCCAGCCCCCTCGTCCCGTGCACTCCAGAGCCTCCCAGTGCATAGAAGGATCTTCTGTCAGCTTCAGGATCAGGGAGGCAGATCACGGACAAGAGGCCTCGTGGGAGACTGAGGCGCTGGCTGAGGCCTGCTGGGCGCCCCACCTGGGTGGAGAGGGTAGGCCGAGGAGACCCAGGCCCTGTCTTCTTGCAACTGGCAGAGAAGGGCAGGAAGTCCTCTGTGGGTTGGAGAGGGAGCGCTCCATGCTCCCTGTGTTGGCCTCAGTCCCTTTATTTCACCTGTGTCTGTGCCCAGAGCTGCCAGAGGAGGCAGCAAAGGCCCTTTTTCTTGGAGACGTCTCGGGACTCACAGGCCCGGCTGGAAACGCAGGCTGTTCACAGCAGTCCCACGGTTGCCCTCCCCTTCACAGGAGACCCCCACGCTTCAGCCTCCGCTGGCCAGGCTCTTAAGGGCATCCATGAGGGCCAGCTCCTTCCCACCATGAGGGCTGAGCCAGGCCCCCGCTGCCCCTGTGCATGTCTGCCCAGGCCACCGCCCTTCATCCCCCTAGTGACTCAGGCAGAGGCAATGTGAGGCTTCATGATCACCAGCTGGTGTTGCCCAATTAAAAAAAAAGAGATCATAAAATATAAATTTTAGCCCTACCCAGGTAGTTCAGTCGGTTGAAGAGTTGCCCTGATACACCAGGGTTGTGAGTTTGATTCCGGTCAGGGCACATATGAGAATCAACCCGTGAGTGCATAAATAAATGGAACAACCAATCGCTGTTTCTCTCTCTCAAATCAATATATAAATTTTTTTTTTTAATATGAATTTTAGCCCTGACTGGTGTGGCTCAGTGGGTTGAATGTCATCCTGCAAACAGAAAGGTTGCCGGTTCAATTCCCGGGCAGGGTCCATGTCTAGGTTGCCAGCCAGGTCCCTGGCTGGGGGCACGTGAGAGGCAACTAATGGATGTTTCTCTTGCACATCGATTTTTCTCTCCTGTCTCTCTCCTTTCCCCTCTCTCTAAAAAAATAAAATCTTTTAAAATGTGAAATTTAGGGCGGCCTTTTGGGGTTCAGGCACACTCATTCCCAGGAGTCAAAGGGGGAGAGGAAAGGATGAGGGATTAGCCAAGCACGTGACCTAAGGGGAAAGCTGAGTGAAGCGGGGCGGGGGGCGGGGGGCCCGCTCTCGCCCCAGTGCTGGAGCCAGGTCTGCAGTTCAGAAGCGTCGGCACCATCCATTCACGGGGAACCTGGGTCAGGGCGCGAGGCCCTGGCGCTGGCTTGTCAGGGAGGCTTTGGTGGGTTAGGCGGCAGGGCGGCCTGATTTAGCAAATAAAAACTCAGGGCACACATGAAGAGAGTTTCAGTGCACGTCTGTTCCAAACGCCACACCCTGTGTTTTTCCTGACAGTCCTGGGACGGCCTCGTGTCCCCGCTGCACTGCGTGACTGCGGAGGGCTGCTGCCGGCGTGCGACTTACCGTCTGTACAGCCTGGAGCCGAGCAGAGCCTGTCCCCGCGGCCCCAGAACGCTCGCCCCCGCCGTGCGAGAGCGGTGGAAAGGGGCTGCAGCCCGTGGCCAGGACGCACGGAGCCCAGCCCGCAGCTGCCCTGCTGCGCGTGCTGCGGTGCCCGCCGCATCTCACTTCCCCGCTCAGGCCGAGCGGAACGCGCGCGCGGTCGGCCCTGGAAGGGACCCCGCTCCCTGCAGCCTGCCAGGCCCCCAGCCCGTTCGCCTCGGCCGCAGCACTAGTCCCTGGAGCCAGGAGGCGGAAGCAGCCCACGCGTCCCTGGATAGACGAGTGGATAAAGAAAGTGTGGTGGATACAGACAACGGAACAGCACTCAGTCTTGAAAAGGAAGGAGACCCTGATACAGGCTGCCGCATGGACGACCACTGAACACACTATGCTAAGTGAAAGTAGCCAGTCACAAAAAGAAGCAGACTGCGCAGTTCCACTTACTGAGCCATCTACGGTTTCTGGTGTCCAACTCAGAGGCACAGGACGTGGAGCGTGATTGGCGGGGGCGGGGGCGGGGGAGGTGCCAGTGAGTCCGTGGGCGCGAGGCAGGGTGTGCGGCCCTGGAATCTGGGGCACAGAGGTGTGCTGTGTTCACAGTGCCATGCTGGACACCTGGAAATTGCTGGGAGGGTAAATTTTGTTTTGTGTTTTTCTGCCACAATTAAAAAAAAATACAATACGGGGGTGGGGGAAACCTCTGGTACACTCAGTAGTGTACAACTGCTTTGTTGCATCAAGAAACATAAGCAAAAGATGCTACTGTAAAACATTTTTTTTTAAAGAGTTCACATGTTGGGCCTCTGCCTTTCCTGGGGTTCCCATGCCTCCCCTGTGTCCCCAGCTCCAATGCAAATGCAGGCTTACTTTTGTCACTGGTGCTCTCCTCTCCAGCGCTTGCCTTTCGCACTGCGCTGCGGAGAAATGTGGCCGACCCAGGAGTGAGGAGGCCAAGGTTCGACTCCTCTCTGCCACGGACTTGATGGGCATTTCCCATCTGGACAACGGGAGAAGGGGCTGGGGATGGTGGGATCTCTGAAGTCCGGGTCCTGGGGGCAGGGTCCATGGTCAGAGGACATGGTCAGTGAGGGCCAAGTGAGAGCCAGCCGGGCCCTTCCAGTTAAGGTCCAAGGGGCGAGGTGGGGGGTTGGCAGATTGGCTAGGGGAGCCCCCAGACCGGACTCGGGCAGAAGGAGAGAAGGAAGAAGCTTCACCCACTCGGCATCTAATCAGAATGCCGTCGGCTGGGGATTCACCTGTCACCAGGTGAAGGTGCAGTAGGCACATGGCGGTAGCCTTGGGTGTGATCATGGGACGAGACTCGGGGTCTGGCTGGAACAGTGACAAGGTTCAACATGAAGCAGGGCCTGAG